CTCTAGAAAATATAGCTGCTGAAGGTTAGAGACTTTCAGTATCTGGGAGTTTTCAACTAGTAAGATTTTGTATCTGAACCTAATCTATTCTTCTCAAAAACTTACCTGATTCACAACAAAACTGCCCAGTTTTGCATCCGCCGCCCTAGATGTAGCAAGAAGCTTCGCTGCTTCATCCCAAATTGAACCACTAATCTCTACATCAGAATCTTCGAGCCGATAAAGAAGCCCAAGCAATTCCGGCTCAGAAGCAGTGGAAGCGAAGCGATCCATGTTAATTTTGTTAGAATCATTAGGATAGGTTCGTAGCACAACAGCACATCGTCTCGTAAAGACCAGGTTTTTCTCAGGCAATGGTAATGCATTTAGACCTAATAAGAAATCTTTTAGCGCATAATTTTGTGCAATTTTCTTGCTTAAACATTTACTTTGACTTACAATTGATAATGACAATGTAGATCTTTGTGTTGCCTGCTCCAGAGCTGATATTGGCAAGAACATCCAGCGCATTGAATAAAATATTACAGTCTTCATCATCGGCATTTTTTACACATTCAGTAACCCATTCGCAAAATTTCGCAGCCAGTACTTCACCATCAGGTGCGGTAGAGCTTCCTCGACATTCCATACATTTCGAGGTTTTTGTAAATTTTGTTTCTTACCTCTCAACGTAAAAATGATTGCGAGAAGTAGGGATAAAGCAGAGGGTAAAACACACTGTTCCGATAACAATTTCACACTAGAATATCTATTTACGACAATGCCAGAGCACGAACTCAGCTGACGATCTAAAACACACCTGATACGGAGCGACAAGAATTTAGAAACCATACCTGAGAGAAGTTCTAGCAGAAACTGAATTAAAAGCATTTCCTCGGAGTTGCAAAATTTGAAGGAGGATTTGACATGTTCAGTCCAGCGCGATGGATCCTCTCTACTCATCCTCTCCTCAAAAATATAGCAATGCTCAGCACTATTATGAGGCAGAATATCATATGCAAACAAGTTCTAAAACTCACAAGTTCAGGAATTTCGACACTCTCGATTGTTTGCAGGATTTTGGTGACAAATTTGGAGGCAGACTTCCTAAAGTGGATGGAATATCCAAAGACTGACTGCGAAGACAACATGTAAAATGATTGCAAGAAATAGCTCAGAAACTACAAGCGATATTTTTTTCTCAGTACAAACCGGCGGACTGGGGGATGCGGGAGGTTTGAGAATGGGTGGCGAATTTTTCAAGGTGGTCTACATGAGTGAAAGTGTGCAAGTGACTTGCTTGCGAAAAAAAATTTGAGGCAACTTCTCCCGAAACACTTTTTATACTTCAAATCAAATATGTGGAATGGTTACAAAATTTTTTTTCGAGAATTCGCAAATCCCTCCCTTCATTCCCTTCGAAAAGAGTTTTTGAAGCCGCCGACGTTACGAAACGCAAACAACATCTTACCTAATCTTCATGAAGCCGTTGATCTGATGCTTTTGAATGAAGCAGTAGAGCACTTTGAAGGTGAGCAGAGGTTCGCTATCACATAGTAGCTCCCCGATCCCAACTAAGAGAACAAAGCGAGAAGTGACCTCTTCGATTGCTAGAATTTAAGAGCTGTAAATCAGTTGCAAAAGTAGATGAAGATAAATTCACTGATTGCGATTAAAAATTATACTATCAGAATTGTGCTCATTTTATGTTATGCAGTCCAAAAACTATACTTAAATGAATATGCTGATATTACCAAGCAATTTGTTGCTTGTTAAAAGGTCTCAA